GTAGGGATTTTTTTAATGTGAAAATTTAAAGCACATTCTGTGAACTGTTTTATTCTAAAACAGACTGCAATAATATCTGCTTTCCTCTTATAACAGATGATGGAAAATTAGATTTTAAATTGGACTTTGTTTTGATAGGAACAGAATAGCAGAAAATTTAATGGTGTCAGTTTCTTGATAAAATTTCAAGTATTGACTTTTGTATTGAAATTTTGCATTTAAAACTGAGCATCTGTCTTATTTCATCTGAAATGAGGATAATTGCGTAAAAAAATCAAGATACTAAAGTGAACATGCACTTTTTTTATCTCCTACTCCTGTCAGTTCTTCAGAGCCTGTATTTATTATTCTTTTAGTCAAGCAATAAAGCTTATGTTAAGCATTTGTGAAAGAAATATGTGTAGATAATAGTGAAAGGAGAGAGAGATTTACTTAAGAGATCCATTCCTATTTGGGGATTTTTTGTTTTAGTTGTGTTTGTGTTTTTTTAATGTTTTGGGGGCTTGTTTGTTTGGATTTTTGTTTCAGCTTTTGGGGGGTTTGGTTGGGGGTTTTTTGTTTGTCTTGGTTTTGGTGGGTTTTGTTTATTTGTTTTGATGATTTGTTTGTTTGTTCTCAGAACTTAGTTCAATCCTATTTAACCTCACAGGTGACTTCGGGTTTTGGATACTGGGGAGTCACCTACAAATCTTTAGAAGTCAAAACTCTGCCCTTTGAGTTTGATTGTCCTGATCACTGTTCTCAGGGCTATTGTGCTTTTTCTGTAAGAAGCAAATTGAACTGCACATTACAGTTTGTGCGTTAATATGAATGGCATAACTGTAAACGAGAGAGCAAAACCAACAAGATACTTATAATCAGTGTTGTTCAGTATTTGGAAGAGACACCATAGCTCTTATCACAAATATGTAACAAAACAGGCTCCAGTCCCATAACTACAGCCATAAACAGAATCCATTAAAATCACCAAGGCCAAAGAAAGTGCATTCAGAAAATTTGGAATAGCTGAGCAGTTAAGTTCTCTGTTCTGTTAATGCTATTTACATCCCCATCCTCTCCTCCTTTCCCACCAATTTATTTTTTTTTTTTCTTCTGGAGAAGTTTCAGAGACTAGAATATGACATAAGTGTTCTGTCTCTAGTTTATTAGATTACATGTAATGACTTAATGTTGTACAATGGACTTATGGGCTGGATCTGTGTTTTATTATGGACTGCTGGGGAGGAGAGGTTAGGGAGACAGCTGAATGTACAGATGTGTGAGTGGATTGTGCTGTCAGCCCTGAACAGCCCTTACTGCCTGAGAAGGTAAGAGCAGATTGATGTTAGGCAGTGATATACTAGGGATGGTCACTGGGTCCCATCGTTGGTAGTTACTGCCCTGACCTTTTACATCAAGTTCTGGTAGACAGCAATATTTTACTCCTCAAGCAGTGGGTACTACGTTGAAAACCATGTTCTTCTTCCTCCAGGGAAATGGTGCTGGGTGGACTGGATAGAAATGCTGAAAAAGGCAGGCTTTGTATATGACGTTGGGCTGTCTTTGGTGGGATTAATAGGCAGTGGAATAAGTGTATAAAACGAATGCTGTTACAGGCTTTTGGAAAATTCATCTGATGAAAATTTCTAGATTGTTTTTTGTGTGAAGTGACAAGTTCAGGTGATGGACAAAGATGTGTAATAGGCTTAGGCGAAGTACTTAAACTTTCAACAACCATTTTTGTTCACAAAGTTAACCAAAGCAAAATCAAAGTATCAGCTTTGACCTGGCTAACTGACAGGTGCCTAATGTAACTGTAAATATGGAGTTGTTCTTGTTTAGCTGGGTTTGCGAATAAGCTGCTGTCTCTTCACTGGTGATTTTATTGGCAAAAAAATCACATTACCCATGCGAGCCTCTGGAGAGTCACAAAACCAGAGCTTTCAAGGCTCTAAAGGACCCCTGTGGTCAGGCAGCCTGACTTTCAGGGCAGTGGAACATTGTATCTTTCTGGAGTAATTATTATTCAACCTGCAACATAAAAAGAGCATTCAAAAATCACCAGTAATGGAAAAAGTCAATGCTTTCCATGCCAATAACATACAGCAGGTAGTGGGATGACAAATAACAGAAAGCAATGGTGATGTTGGAAATTCTGAAGTCAAAGTCATCCTGATATGAATAACTCCGTGGGTGTGGCATGTGGAAATGTGGTAGCTCTGAAAAGAGGGTCACAGCACCTAATCAGCTCAACATAAGTTGTCAACATAGAGAAAAAGACCCAAGGATAAGAGGAAAGACCTGTCACAAATCCAGGGAATAAAAATGAGGTGCTCTGCCTAGGAGTGGAGTTTATAGCATGTATTTGGCACTTGTACAATTGCTACTGAAAAAACCTGCTAAAGCCTATGTATCAAAGATGATGTTCACTGTTAGTAGAGAAGAGCCATAAAAATCTATAGTGGACTGAGATAGGGTGTCAGTAAGAAAGTTAAGGTCAATGCTAGAATCAAGATTACAGTTCCCTTCCTCCCTGCCTTTCTCCCCCCCTGAAAAATAAACTGTAGTTCAATCCTGAATTATTTCAGGGAAGTCATATGGCTTGAGTTACGTAGCAGTTCTGCCTTTCTAGTTTGATGAGATGTGAATCTGTTTAATAGAATCATAGAATGCTTTGAGTTGGCAGTTACTTTTTAAGGTCATATAGTCCAACCCCCCTACAATGGACAGGGACATCTTCAGCTATAATATTAAATGTTTCCAGGACTGGAGAACCCATCATTTCTCTGGGCAACTGCTCCAGCGTTCCACACCCACATTGTAAAAACCTTCCTTATATCTGACCTGAATTTGCCCTTTTTTAAGTTTGAAGCCGTTGTCCCTTGTCCTGTCACCACATTCCTTTGTACAAGTCCCTCTCTAAGCTTTCTAGTAGACCCCCTTTAAATACTGGAAGATGCTATAAAGTGGAGCATCCTGGAACCTTCTCATCTCTTGCCTCAAAAACTGTTTCTCACAGGATCTCTCACCTGTCCTCTCAGGAGAGGTGCTCCAGCCTCTCACCATTTTTATGGCCTCCTCTGGACTCCCTCCAGCAGGTCCATGTCCTTCCTGTGCTGGGAACCCAGAGCTGGATGTAGCCCTGCAGGTGGGGTCTCAGCAGAGCAGAGGGGCAGAATCCCCTCCCTGCCCTGCTGCCCACGTTGCTTTGGATGCCGCCAAATGGCTGGCATTCTGGGCTGCAAATGCACATTGCATTGCCTGATCATGTCCAGCTTTTCATCCACTGACACCCCCAAATCCTTCTGGGCAGGGCTGCTCTCAATCTGTGAGATCCCCAGCCTGTGTTGATACTAGGGTTGCCCTGACTCAGGTACCGGAGCCATTTCACTTGTTGGTCAGAAGATTAGTTTTTAGCTGTGTATATTTGCATAGAGGTCAGAAACCAGTGGCTTTTTTGTGTCTGATTTTGGATAATCTGTATACCATACAGTACTTGTGGACACTGTCCCTTGAGGGGTTGCACTTTGAAGTGCAAAAAGAGGAGAGGAGAGGAGAGGAGAGGAGAGGAGAGGAGA